GTGACTTCATAAAATATTAGTTATTTCCTTTCCGTGATTTCATAAGAACATTAATTATTTCCCTTCCGTGACTTCAAGAGAACATTAATTATTTCCCTTCCGTGACTTCAAGAGAACATTAATTATTTCCCTTCCGTGACTTCATAACAACATTAGTTATTTCCCCTCCGTGACTTCAAGAGAACATTAATTATCTCCCTTCCGTGACTTCATAAGAATAAAGATACCTTTAGATTTATTCTATTGTGGAAAGCGTGAGAACAACGTAATGAAAACGTCATACAGGTATTTGTGAACCTCAATTGATTTTTGGTTCATACTCCTACAAGCGTTTGGCAAAATAGAACTATTTACTTCCAAATTTACGTTAATTAATTTATCTTTTAATTTAATCGGAAGATTTCAAAGGCTAATTAATTTGACTATTCATTATCGGTGAATGAAACACGAGAGGAAACAATTAGATCTTTGAAAGGCGGCTTAGAACGACGCGATTCTGAAGAACCTTTGACTTCAGATTTGGAATAAACAATAGCTTTTGGAAAATACGGCTTCATATGAAATTTATTTTTTATGTATAAAAAATAAATACTAAATTTTTGCACGATTTTATTAATCGTCAACGACGCATGCGATAAACCTTAACCGTTTTGTCACGAGCATCTTCTTCTGCGCATGTCACGATGTTTTAGTGAGTTACATTCAAAATTTATTTAAACTACTTTGTTATCATGGTATACAAATAAACCTGCCGTAAAAATGCAGCTAATAAACCAACTTTTAATAGTATATCAGTTTTAAATTTTTTCATGTTATAAGGCATTATAAAAAAAATCCTGAATTTCCCCTAGTATGAGAATTGTGACATTCTTTTTTTTCTAGGCATTCCCTCTTCTCTAATTTATTAAAGCGAGCAACATGAAACCTAATTCCACTGATAATCGCACATTCTGTCCAAGTCCGACTAGTATTTGTAATCCTCAGTGGCTGTTACTGATTCGACCATTGATGTATGACGTCAAGCCACTCTCGTTACAGGTGCACAAGCGTATTAAATGTGCTCAGTTTCGGTGGGCTATGAGCATTGTTGTAGAGACAAAGGTTGTAGTAAGATCCACAATTGTTGTATCATATTTAAGTTGTGTTGTCTGTTAAAAAATATTTTTAAGTTTACATCAATACATTAAATCCTTCCAAATATAATAATAATAAACTTAATGAAATATTGGATACCGTGTAGTTTTTACAAATGTCCATAATTTCCTATTTATTATATTCTAAGAATTTATTTTTAACAAACATTTTACAAGAAGATTTTTTTTTATGAAATTACTCTTCGAAATTAAGAAATGACATCGTTATGATTGTATTCCAAATGGCACCTAACTAGAAATGGCATACAGTAATTCTACACAAGATGTGCAGGTGGAGCTACTGTCTGATGTAGATTGTTATCTACGATATCAGAAACAAGGAGTAATAGGTAAGCAAATTTTAAACTTTGATTTAGATTAGGGATTTTCGTTTGTTTTAATGCGATGTTAATTATAGCAACTAACATGTTGTGTGTGTGGGTGTGTGTAATTTTCTACCGCATAACCTCTGCTTCTTTATAAGGTTGATTAAGTTTTCCATATTTTTGACAAAATACCCGCGGTGGACACAGCGAAAATAGCCCATTGTGTAGCTCTGCGCTTAACAACCATCACCAATAACAACTGATAACATTTTTATGTCTATTAAAGGTATCCAGTATCTTTATCAGTTAATAAATATGTTTTAAGTCAAAGTTAAGAACATCTATGTCATAATAAGTTTTTACATTCGAACCAAAAATTATTATTAGATAGATACTAGAAAGGAGTTGCCTAGTGATTATGATGCTCATATTGTGAACTCGGTGTTTCATAGATTGCGACCATTCGCACTTTGGAGTCTTAGGTGTGCTATAAAAGTAAAAGTCAAGTCCCACTGTTTGGTCAGATAGCCCTCGTGTAGCTTTGGGCGAAATTCAAAACAAACAAACTCTACTGTCCTTTGTTTGTTTGTCTTTAACAATGAATGAGAATGCTACTCATTCTGATTGAATGTGGACAGAAGAAAAATAATACGTAAACATAAAAAAATCTTTAAAAAATTATTTCACTTTGAAACACAAACCTTTGAAGATAGGCTTCAAAAATAAGTGACAAGCCACTAAAAATTTTATTGAAAACATAAAAAAATGCTATATCAACTTCTGTTAAACCTCGAAAGTAATGTTAGAAAAGACGTACTTACTACTAGCTTCCACAGAGTTGCAAAATCTTGTAAGAGAAAAACAACTCTCAAGAAAAAAAATTAATTATAAAAATGATATTCTAAAAAAAAGTTAATAGGATCATACTGGAAATTGTTTTTTTTTTTAAGAACGCTTAATAAAGATATTTTACGGAGAAGATCCCTCTATTCTGGTTCATCAGGGGTTCGTTTACAATGACGCAAATTTGAGCTATAATACTGATTACTTATTTCTAAGCCGCCAAGAGGAATATCGGATGTCTAATATGTTTTTGTATGAACTCCGTACGAATGTTTTTTTTTTTTCATTTAAAATATGAGCTATGTTAAGTATTAAATTCACCGTAATGTTTTCATGGGATTCTTGAATAACCAGAGGCAAAGTATTAGGAACTCTTTACAGCATACTACCTCAAAATGAAACAGATCACAGTGATACCCAACAACACCTGAACGCTAATTCAATTACCTGCGTAACAGAAAATAAGTAAAACCAATTGGTAAGTTTTTCAGAATTATATTTTATAATTGTTTTCCCCTTAAAACTCATGTTATTTTGCAGCAACTTAAGCAATTTATGTTAATCATTTTTAGGACTTTAATTTTTTTCTCATAATAGAACTGTTTATTTACAAAAATATGTGTCTTTGGCGAAGACTAAGTTCGTGTTTGTATTTGCATGAAAGATACGCCATTGTTCATATGTCGACCGATGATGTGTTTGGAGTTTTCATGATCTTACATTAGAAATTACTAGACTAGACATTAACCCTTCAACCAGAAATGCTTTTATATTCCAAACCTAGTTTTTATATGTGGTAATTTACAATGAATACTTTTATTTGGTCCATGAAACTTTGAAAGCAACCAAGAAACACTGTTTCTAAGAAAATCAAACAGGTTTAATGGTGGGTGGTGGTACAAAAACAAAATAAACAACAGAATCACACAAAATATTCTATAGTTTTTATTCGTTGTTTACTATAGCTGAACCTAAAAAAGTAGACCCGGAAATTGTGGAATTCATCTCAACAACATGCATACAAGTTTGGTGAAATATGGTACAGAAAAATGCTTCCCTGAAAGTAACCTTAAGTAGTTAGGGTGCTCGACTCGCAATCTGAGGGTCGCAGGTTCGAATCCCCGTCACAGAAAACATGCTTGCCCTTTCAGCCGTGGGAGCGTTATAATGTGACGGTCAATTCCACTATTCGTTGGTAAAAGAGTAGCCCAAGAGTTGGCGGTGGGTGGTGATGACTAGCTGCCTTCCCTCTTGTCTTTCACTACTATATTAGGGACGGCTAGCGCAGATGGCCTTCGTGTAGCTTCACGCGAAATTCTAAACAAACCCAAACTTCTATGTCAGCACTGAGACAAAGCAATCTAGTTTAATGGATATTAAAACCCTCTCAGAATTTTAATTATTACCGTACACCAGAACAAGGCATTCTATTATATTTCTTACACATATATCACATGAGATGATAAATTTTAGAACTTAATTTACGTACATCCGTCAGATTTACGTAAATTAAATTCTAGAATTTATTCCAAACTTTATGAAGCGGAAATTTTTGACGCTGTTTACCCGTTGATCAAAGTAAGTTTGTTATCGCTAGGTCAAACACACAAAACCCGATAACACACGCATTCGTAGTTTGCTCTGTTGAATTCAGCAAAAATCTACTCGACAGCTGTCTACGCTAGTCGTGACTAATTTTGAAGGGATGGACTAGAAGGAAATCAGAAAGTCAACACCACTCACCACCAACTCTCTTTACCGATGAATAGTTTGATTGCCCGTCACATTATATGCCCCACATGGCTAAAAGAGCGAGTATGTTCGGCGACTGGTTTTGATCCCGCGACTTGTAGATTGGAAAGCAAGCGTCCTAACCACTAGACCATGGCAAGACCCGGTAGTTTGAAAAGCTGATGGTTACGTTGTACGAAATACTATTGCCTCTGCTTGAACACTCTTTGTACAAGGTAGAAATATTTTGTACCTCTGACCACCAGGGATCAACATCACCTACACGCATCCTAATGTATGATTTTGTTTTCATCATGCAATATTGTTCTAGGTATCTGCAATTGTATTTATGACAAAGCTACTAAGGCTATCTATCATTGTCTTTAATTTAAAACTACTGACCATATAGAAGGCAACCATTTAGGAGCTGAGGACTACAAAGCATAGAAATAAATGATATGAAAATGAAATGAAATTATTTTCACTTTCTAGGACTAATATTTTTTGTTCTTGTTGTTTGTTTACTCGACTAAAATATATTTTATTTTTCTATTTGTTTTCGTATAATTTCTCGTGGTTTTAGTTACATATTCTTTATATCTTTTAACTCATCAACCAAGAGGAGAAGTCTAACGAAAAGTTGTTAACCCTAAAATTATTTGGATTTTAAAACTATTTATGTAACAAACTTGCTTTTGGATCCGAGAATTTTTTTATTACAGGATCTTTAAATAACATAGGAATCATGCAAAAAATAAAAATACCGTCAATAATGTAATTAATGTGGAGTTTGATTCGTGTTCATTTTAAGTTTAAATATATTTATGTTAAATCTTTGATAATTTGTTATTCGTAATAGTCAATAACTGTAAGTTAAGAAATAAAAATGAATAATTGATAGTTACGGAAAAGCTATACATTCAAAAATTCATATTACTCAAAACATTATGTATGTTTGTGTATATAAATGTGTATTAAATTGTTTATACGTTATAAATTCATTTTGTTTGGCTTGTGCAAAAATGGGAAGAGTCTCACCTATAACCTTCAGTTATCAAGAACAGAACTAATCGCATAAGATAGTGTTCACGAATGTTCAAATGACGTGTAATTTACGTCAGAATGGCTATATTAAAAAATTAAATGATAACACAAGCGAGAGTGATATGCAGGCTAATTTTTGAGGTAAATCTTAACTGCTCCTATGACGCTGTACAAATTGAACTTTTTTCTATCCTTCTAAGTTAATAACAGTAATAAATACACGTAAGTTCTATTGCTATGGAGACTGATTTTAAGTATTAGGCCAGTGAAAATTTTTTGATTAATAACACAGACCTTGCGTGTTGAACAGGTAACACCCTAAATCGTTCACGCAACAACTGTATTTTCATGTAAAAAGTAAAAAACTGGAAGACTGGTAAAATTAGGTTTATGGAAACTCGAGCCATGAAGCTGTTCATTGCTTTCAACAATACTTCTTTCACCGTCAATAATACATAAGAATTTTCTATTGTTATATTAAGCTTCACTTTTCAAAATATACACGTAACTTATGTCATATAGAATATTGTTATCTGTGAAAAGGATTCAATCTAACACATTTAATTAAGTTATTTGTAGTCAAATCTTTTACATTAAAAGCAGACGTTGGTTACAGTATCTACATAAATATAACACTACTGTCTGTTGTCTGTCTATGTAACTACTTCGCAGGGTGTGGATGGATCTTCACCCAACTTGGTGTGGAGGTTCATTAAATCCATGCGGGGGTAAATACAAATTTTAGGTTTTGCGATTTTTATGGGCGTTTTTTTTTTACTCACCATGGATCTTCATCAAATTTGGTATCGAGGCTTATTGAGTCCATGGGGGAGATACATACAAACTAGCGGTTTCACATTTTGTGTTTTGTAGTTTTTTATTGGCGTTTTTTACAATTACATATAAGGAAAGCAACTTTTCCTGTCCTAAGATAACCTTTTATTAATCATGAATTTACATAATTTCCGTCCAGGGGGCGGGTACTCCAGCTAACATAATAATGATAATTTAACGACATCGGTAAAAGCGTAAGGTAAATATGTACTAAATTATTATTTGTTCAACATCGTATATAACCTTAGAATTATAGAAAATGAGTATCGTGGCAGTAACGTAGATAAATACTATACTTCGTTGGAACTTCTTGTGTTATGATTCCTGACGAATGAATCACTATTATGTTATATCGTATTTGAAGTCGATAATAAAACTAACATCCAACCTGTTGGCACAACCCACATAAATGAACATGCTAATATACGTATACTGTAAATGCTTACTCCTCGCACTGTAGCATCGTCATCAGATGTGGAAACTTCTAACACATCTTAATGCATCACCATAATTAATCAGATGTGGTAGCTAATTACACTTCGACCTATTAGAGGACATACAAGATAATAGTC